TCTCCCTTAGAGACAGGGTGAGAAGCTCGATCATCCGGGAGGGACTCGGAGTAGAGCCGCTGCTTCTCCACATCGAGAGGAGCCAGTTGAGGTGGCTTGGGCATCTGTTTAGGATGCCTTCTGGACGCCTCCCTGGTGAGGTGTTCCGGACACGTCCCACCGGAAGGAGGCCCAGGGGAAGACCCAGGACACGCTGGAGGGACTACGTTTCTCGGCTGGCCTGGGAACGCCTTGGGATTCCCCCGGAAGAGCTGGCCCAAGTGGCTGGGGAGAGGGAAGTCTGGGCCTCCCTACTTAGGCTGCTACCCCCGCGACCCGACCCCGGATAAGCGGAAGAAAATGGATGGATGGATGATATATATATATATAAACATAATTTTGTGTGGAAAAAGAGGCATGTTTGCAGAAAATTTAATAAAGCTTACATTCAGGATTTAAAGCTGTTCAGACTCATGTCTCCTTTTTGTCATGAACATCTTTCCCTAACACTCCCAGGCTACCCTTCTTTGGCCATCACTTTCTTCCTCCATGAGGCTTACGGAGAGGAACGAATCCTCAAAGTGCTGGACTTCTTCCAGCGGCCGCCCTGGCAGTACCATCACACTGAAAACTGTGGCAGCCGAACCGGAGGGGTCCACATCACTTCCGGCGGTTCGTCCTCCGACCCCCTGCTGCGGCCCTACCTCCTGCCAAGCAGGGACTTTTACAGCCTTGGTGCAGGGATGCCTGTGTGGGGGGTGCGACCTGTGCACTGCGGGGGGGAAATACTGCGAGTGACGCTGTTCAGTAGCTATGACAACTTCGAGGATGCTGTGCGGCTTTATGAGACGGTGCTGCAGCGGCAGGCAGAGGAGCAGAAGATGGGATTCTGCTGGTTCACCGTCCACACAGGTAAACCTTTTCAGCAGACAGGTTCATTTTCACATGTTAAGGTCTTACAATTGTCTGAAGTTTTCCAAGGTTAATTGTTAAGAATTGGCAATTGCTTGAAATGAAAAATAAATGTCAAGTTTTAATTGACATGGTTTTCCTGAATGCACTGATGGTGACAAATGTGAAATCAAAGTGTTCAACTTTTATCTGACTGAGGAACATTAAAACTGGCAAAAGTTGCTTTTTCCTGGTAATTATGTGGGTAGTACCATTAATTTACCAATTACGATTATTACACCCAAATATATGCTGCACGCACCAAAATGTTATTCTAGAACTAAATGTTTGTTGTTGTTGCATTTATTTATGGTAGAAACATCAGTTTCAAATTCTTTAGCAGATAAATATATGTACAGTATATATACGGTATGATACTTTGTCTTTTGTATTACTTGTCATTTGTGTAACGAAATACAGATATTTATCTGTGCCCCTCGTTCCATCCAGCTGTGTTTGGTTCTGCTTTGTTACATTTGTGCTTGTTGCTCTCATCGTTCCTCTGCACACAGAGCCAGGCCTGTGCCTTCAGCTGGCTTTGAAACAGCTGTCTCCAGGGGTCCGTGTGGAACCGTGCAGTTCCGCTGTGCTCCAGTTCAGTGTAGAAGAAATCGGCCAGCTTGTCCCACTGTTGCCCAACCCCTGCAGCCCCATCAGCACCACACGCTGGCAAACAGAAGACCTGGATGGTAACAAGGTTCTCTTTCAGGTACGAGCTGCGTAGTCTGTACTAAGTGTATTATTTATAAAAAAGACTTTGTTGTGAAGCTGAAGTGTAATTTGTAGATATGTGATATTGTTGCATCGTAAAGAATGAGTTGATGTTTACTGAGACATCCATTCTTCGTGTCGCGGGGGTCACTGGTGCCCATGTCCAGCAGTCACTGTGTGAGAGGCGGGGGACACCCTAGACAGGTCTCCAGTCCATCACAGGGACACAGAGACAAATGAGACGAACAATATTCACACACTCACTCACATCTAGAGACAATTTAGAGTTACCAATCAGTCTAACATACATGTTTTTGATCTGTGGGAGGAAACCAGAGTACCTGGAGAAAACCCACACATGCACGGAGAGAACATGAAAACACTCAGAAAGGCCCCTGGCTGGGATTTGAACTGGCGACCTTTTTGTTGAGAGGCAACAGCTCTACCAACTGATCCACTGTGCTGCCCGTTTACTGAGACATGAAAAATATTTTCTTTTTTGGTAATATTACACAATTGCAGTATCAGTTTTAAAGTTGGTGTGTTCAAGTGTCAAAGCTTCCAGCTCTCACTTCAACCACTTCAACAACTGAGTGACTGGGTCAGAATAAGTGTTGTTGAACGTGTGCAGTGGTACGTATCAGGTAAAGCCCTACTGATGATGCATGGTCCAATTCCTTAAGTTCCATACTGCTGTAGAAAGTAGTGTTCCTCATTAATCCAAGACAACCTGTCATTCAACAAGATCCCACATTTTAAAGATGCCACTGAGAAAAATAAACATTGTTACTGTTCCATTAGAGTGACAAACTCAAATATATGTAATGTTTTGTGGAACTTTCACCTGTCAGAAGGTTCATGTTCAAATTTAACAACCGTTCTAGTCCTGTTGTAAATCATCTCTCTCCTCCTGCTCTTCTGTTCTGCAGGTGAAAACCCTAACACAACCTCAGCGACCTCTGACCTGCGCCTTTCCCCCAACCTGCGTGAACGTGCCCCCTCGAGGGCCACAGCTGCGGAGCTCCGGACAGAGCCACAGCCCGTCACCCTGCAGCCTCACCGCTCCTCTGCCCTGGAAGTCCTATAGGCAAGGTAAGAGTTTATAACTCTGACTAATTCAGTTTGATTTATTAGCACACCCCACAGTTATTAACACAACTGTCACATGATTGTTTTATATGGAAAACAATAATATTCAAAACTGGAGTCAGAGTCAAAATAAAAGTTTTGAAAATGTCAAGTAGATGAAGAAGGTTTTGTAAACAGTAATCCAGGTAGATGACAACAAAAAAGGTTCAATCATGTCATCTGGACCAGTTTCTTTAAGTGAGAAATGTTTTGTCCCCATCCAGAGGACTTCCTCAGTCTATAGCCTGCCAACCAGATCTGTCCCATAGGTAGCCTTCACTGCTGAGTTTCAAGACAACCTCCTGTTGAAATCTCAGAAGTAACACGTACAAACAGAGCACACCCATCTAAAACAATCAATCATGAAGTACAACAATCAAATGTTTTAGGCCGGATGGCCAACTTACTACTCACAGAAACAGTCTGAGGACAGCCAAGGCCAAAGTGGTTCAGAAAAATGGTTGTCAGCTCAATCATCAAGTAGATGAAGGTTTGCAAGCAGTTAAGCAGAACATGGGACCTCTTGTTCATTCA